CCTAGGACGTGATTTCATCTTTCTTCATAAAGGAAAAACAAGGGTTGTCTGTTGAGTGCTACAGGAGAGATTTCCGAAAGTGAAATCTCTTCTCATCAGGGTAAAGGTGAAGTTTAAACAGTTGTTGAACAAGTAAATTTTTGGAAGAAAAATAGTATGAGAGAGCATTTAGAAATGAAGTTTGAAAGTGTTCCCATTGTGATCTGATTTTGTTGCTGAAAATCTTATATGTTCCCAAGATCTTTCGTATCCACCCTTCCAAAAACAAAAATGAATTTTTAACTTGCTTAAAAATCTTCCAAGTGAAGAGTTTGAGTGGGTTTAAAATCCATTTGCTGAAAGCATTAAAATGCAACATATTCCAATTTCTTTGCAAGAACAACTGATTGACATGAGAGAAGATGGAAATTTGAAAGTCAATTTTGAACAAACCTTTGCATAATTGGTGGATGGCATTGAAAATTGAGAGATGAATGTCATGTTTTAATGAGCCAAGCCCACAATGCACCTCTTCCGTCTGGATCTAGGTATCCGCGTGAGGCCTCCTTTTCAACTGTGACAGCTTTTAAAACTGAATATTGAAATAAACTGAATTTACTCCCAGACACTCAAGTCACTGTTCCACAAAGTGTTAAACCAGGATTTTAAAAAATAAAGAAGCATATTCAAAGACATTGTCTCGTTGTGAGAGCAAAGAGGGATTTTATATCATTATTAAATGAAATGCCATAAAATTTACTTTAAAACATTTTTTTATTTATTACATTTTTATTTCTATTTATATAGTTTTATAATGTATATAACATAATATACATAATATATAACATACATAATGTATAATGTACATATATTTTGTAATATACATATATTTTTATAATGTATGTACTAATGTATATTCGTGTATATAGTTTATGTATATAATGTATAAAGTTATACATATATAATTTATAAATAAATAGATATCGGGGGTGCCTGCTTAACAATTTTTACTGAGGAAATGTATGAACAATAGAGCTTAAGTTTGAGGACATCGGCAGTGCCACTCCTCCAGCTCTGGCCTTAGAGACTGCCTGGGGCCCTCCCTGTCCTGGGCGGGGGCATTCACAAAAAATATGTTCCTGGATTGGACCTCACTGTGCCCGCAGGTGGAGTTTCAGTCGTGCATATTTCATAGCTGAGAGGTCAGAGGTACAGAGGAGTAAGACCTGAGACCTGTTCTACCGAGGGCAGCCCCATCATAGAAACCAAAATCCCCTCCGCTGGATAAGAACAACCTCACTTCTCTCCTCCACCCCTCCCACTGCAACAGGAGAAGGAAAACAAATTCCCTCCTGTTCAAAGGGAATCCAGAGGCCCTGAGAGGGTAACTATCTTTCCTGCAGCATCACAGCAAATTGGCAATGGAGACCACGTGTAAATTCAGGCATCCAGAGTGCCAGGTCTGGCCTTTTACCTGCTCTGCTCTCTCTGGACCTTGATGCAGAGCCTGGTTTTCAGTTACCAAAATGCTCACTATCATCTCTACTGGGAAGCCCTTCCTGCTATTAATTTCAGTCTTGCATGCTGCAAATAAAGCCTAGAGTGTTCAGGAGGCTAACCACCCAGGTCAGTTCTCTGCCCCATTGTAGCAAAGAACTTCCCTCCCCAGTCTTCTGCGTCTGTCTTAACCTCAGAGAAGAGAGAGTCCCAGGAGAAGTAAGGCCTGCGCCTCTGCTACCCTCTCAGGGATGCAGCACCTCCCTGAATACGTTCATGTCATTCTCTCCCTGCTCCTGCTCTGCTTAAAAGCATCCCGTGTGTCTCCACTGCCCACAAGAGAAAAGCCAGGTTGCTTAGGCCAACCCACACACCCTTCTCCGCAGGCCCGGTCCACCAGCATCAGTCACCGGCAGGAAACAGAAACCACACTGGCTAATTTAAGCAGAAAGGAATTTCAGGCAGGTAATTCCATACTTGCAAAATCATCAGAAGGGCTAGAGGAACAGGCTGCACCTGCAGGAATGGCTCCCAGAAAATCATAGGACCCACCTTGGAACTGCCCGCCTCTGACTCCGTCAGGAAGGTAAAGAACCAGGAGCCACCCTGGGTCTGCTGACTTCAAGAACCATCCCCTAACTGATTCAGGGGTCAGGAAGTCATTTCAGCAACTTCACACCCACAAAACTGGACACTGGATGCTAGAAGGCAGCTGCCCAAAAAAGCCAGTGTCTCCACAACTGTGCTGACCAGTGGAACAAGTCACGTCCCCAAGTGCATTTGATTGACAGAACCTGTTGCCTAACCAGAAATCTAGCGGCAAGGGAGTGTGAGAAACGCGGTGTTCAGCGTCCAGCCTCTCCAGCTCAGGAAGGCTCACTAGGGCAAGATGGGGTGGAGGCCGACGCTATACCACACTGTCTCTCCAGATTCTTCTCCCAGCACTCTTCCCACACTCACCCCGCTACAGCACTCTACCCACACTTCCAGCTACAGAGACCCCTCCAAGGGCCCTGGCAACACCCCAGGCTCTTCTTGCCCCTCTGACCTTGCCCATGCTGGTCACCACCTCCCTCCACTTTGAATGGCCTTCATGAACCTGAGATGCTTTCTCTGGATCCCTCAGGCAGGGGTTACTACGGCCCAAAGCTGTCCGATAGAAATATAATGCAAGGGCCGGCCCCATGGCTTAGCAGTTAAGCGCTCACACTCCACTACCTGCGGCCCGGGTTCAGATCCCGGGCGCGCACCAACGCACCGCTTGTTCGGCCATGCTGAGGCCACGTCCCACATACAGCAACTAGAAGGATGTGCAACTATGACATACAACTATCTACTGGGGCTTTGGGGGGTAAAAAAAAGGAGGAGGATTGGCAATAGATGTTAGCTCAG